TCTCTCTCTCTCACACACACACACACACACACACACACACACACACACACACACACACACAAAATCTCCCTCTAGCTAGGGTTTCACCAATCTAATCCAATCTGAATTCTTCTCTTTCATTTAACAAAATGGGTCTCACCAAGTTCAACAAAGATTATAGTTTCACTCTAGCCACTGACTATTTCTTACATATTATCTTAATTTGCAAGTAAGTAAGTTGTTTTTCTGGGACACTTCCTTCTTAAACACTTTCATCTCTTAGATTTGATCTTGCCCTCACTTAATCCTTAATGAAATTACTTTTAATATCAGTTATATCTACCTCAGTTCTAGAATTCTTATTTGACTCTTGAATTATTTCTATGCTGTTGAAATTCTTTATGCTTATCTCTCTTTACTTGAACACACTAATCATTTTTATTTTAAATTTCCTGTCTGATATTATCAGTGTTTGAAACATCTGTACGTCAGTTGTTGTTTTTTCTAATTTGGCTTCTCAGTTGGTTTTACCATTTAGTCTTTTTCTTTCTTCCTTTCTTTCTTTCTTTGTTTTTTTTGAATGCTTCATAATTTTTTATTAAAGGCCAAGTGATATATATATAAACAGAGATTATGAATGATATCTTTCTACAAAGAGGTTATTATTATTTTTTTCTTGCAGACAGGTAGAATATAAGCAGTAAATTTTGACCAATTGGAGTCTCTCAAGTTTTGTCTTCTCAGTTGTTTTCCAAATTTTGTTCAACTTTTATAATGATCTTTTTGTAGGAAGTTTCATGTGATACAAGGCACAGGTCTATGGCCAGAACTGGAGATCTCCCTATTACTCAGTGTATAAAATCTACTGAGCATATATAAAAGCTAATGGTCAAACAGTAAATACATCCACATCAGCTTTATGGGGACAACATTTACTAGGTGACACTATCACAGATGCAGAGGCAATAGCAGTTGCTTAGCTGTTCTCTCACCTATCACACTCTGGGGTAATGCCCAGTAATCTGGTAGGTCTGGGTATCAGATACCAGAGAGGAATTCTGATGCAGCCTATGGGTGTTTTCAATGCATGGCTGGAGAATCAGCAGCTTCTCTGCAGCATGATTAGGGGCTGTGTTCTAAGCATTTTGGTTACAACATTATATAATATGGGTAAATCTTGTATCTCCCCTATTCTGCTGCCTCAGCATTTTCACCACAGAAACCACCAGCTGCACTCCTTATGTCCGTAACTGTAGGATGTGTCACGATCTGTCACCTGAGCCCTCACTGAAGCACACTCTCCAAACTGTCTTAAGCACTCAACTGTAGACAGTTACTTTGGAAATTTATAGGAGCTAATCCTGAAGCAAATCCGCATTGGATGAGTTAATTCTCTCCTCTCACTCTAGCCTTTCTTGACTCCAAAGTGTGGCTCACATTTATGGCCCTAGAGTTGAGCAGACACTTCCGTGTCTAAGAGCTGCATGGCTGGATCACCTGAGCGGACAGCACCGGAGGGGAAGACTCTGTTCCACCCAGCACGTAGGAAACTGGAAAGGACGCCAGTCCTGCTTTTACAACAACAGTGGAAGGCTGGATATTTGCAAATTCACAATTTTTCTTAAACCCATCACAGGGCAGTCAGCTAAACTGAAAACTAAGGAAAGACAGGCACATGCCAAGGAGAGACAGGGTACGGAATCTTGCTTACCTGAGGTAGATGCTCAACTCACGGAAGCTGTTATAAAGAATTCAGTTAAGGTTTTGAACAAGTTGCTAAAGGCAGAGTGTGGTTTTGCGCGACAGCAGGGAACTCCTGAGGCCTCTAGACACCATGGTAAATCACACCCACTTGGAGGCACTTTACAGACTTCACCAGATGTTGAAAATTTGAGAGCAGGTTAGGAGACTTCCAAGTTTAGCTTATGTTGCAGGCCTGGTGGAGAGGAACAGCAGCTGTTATACAAGAGACACAAAGCCCCACCTGGAAACTTCTCCCCTACGGAACAAAAACCGGAAGCCACTGGGGGCAAAGCAGCAAACTCCCAAGCGAAGGATGACTCATTACCACTGAAAGTGAAATACAAACATCTCTATACTCCTGGGTCAGACAGATACTTACTTGATTGCTGTTGCACCCTGTTTCAATTCTCCTTTCTTCAGGGTTTTTCACCTTCCAAATAAACTGCTTGCACTGGGTTCCTCAGGTCCTGCTTCCAAGCATCTCCTGTCATCCTCTGCTACTTCCCCTTTCTCCAGGTCCTTTCCACCCACCCTTGCAGGGCAGCAATTTATCTGTCCTTCATTGCATATTCATTTCCTGTCCTCAGTCCACGGGCTGTACCATTGCCTAAGGGTTCACAGAGAGGTGTAAGCAGAGAATTGAGGAAAACCCCAAACCAAGCCATGGAGCACTTAACAATTTAAAAGATAAGAAAAACCGCTGTGGGGCCGGCCGAGTGGCACGTTGGTTAAGAGTTGGCTTGGGACGCCAGCTCTGAGCAGCAGGGTCCCGGTTCGGATCCCACATGAGGGCCAGTGACGCTGCGCCCTCTACATCTAAGATGGTGAACAAGAGCTCAACCTGGTGCTGGGCTGCTGTGAGTCGCCAGCAATGGCATAGGCTGGGCTCCTGTAAGCTACCGTGAATGGCCAGCAGCTAGCATGACCAGCGACCAATCTGCCTCACCTGGGAAGAGAGCAATGATAATATGAACATGGGCCAGTGAAGCGACGTCCTCCACAACTAGACTGAAGAAAACGACAGCAACTTGTCTGTTCCCCTTCCCCGATTCCCCAATGCTGTTCCCCTCCCCCAATTTTCCAATAAAATCTTTAAAAAAAAAAAGAAAAGAAAAACTGCTGTGATCTAAGTAGGCTTTGTCAGGTAAAATATCCAGTGAAATTTAAATTTCACATTTTAAAAAACTGGTTTATTTTTAGTGTAAGTATTCATGCAATGTTTTTGTATTTGTTGTATTTACAATATTTTTGGTTGATCTGAAATTCACATTTAATTGGAAATTCTGTATTTTAATTTGCTAAACCTGTACACCCTACACATACATGAGTAGACTGGCTAGAAAAATGAAGACAAATTTATATAGGCAGCAAAAATTCTTTCAATGAGAAGGAACTCTCCTGAACACCCACCCTAAAGTATACTCTCCCTATCCTTCTCCATACACATCAGTCAACCTAGCCATTATCCAATCCTATGCTTTTTCATAGAATTTATCAAGTATTAATGTCCAGTTAATATTTTCCATATGACTGAAATGCATCAGAAAATTCACTGTGTTTATTTATGGAATGGCTGCCTATTATGTCAGGCTCTGGCCTCCCGAATCACAGAAAGCTTACTAAGTGAAGCATGAGCATATCTGCTGAGATTTCTGCAAAGTCAATTTGGTAGTAAGAGAAACTTCATAGCACAAACTTCTAAATCCAGGCTGCCGCAAATGAAATGAAATAGTACAAAACTGAAGGCTATGTGCTTATACACCAGAATACTCGGTCCAGTATTAACCATCTCTACCTTTCCTTATTTCTCAAGGCCACTGGAGATCTGATGGGGAACATGTACCCTACAAGCTCAGTGCAGCAGCCACTGGAGGTGAGGTGACTCAAGAGAATGTTGCCAGGCAACCAACGCAACCTGTGACCATTTCAAACCATCACACACTAGACACCACCAGGCTGCATTGGACATTGTCTCCCATATTCTTGGTTACTGGACTTCAAGGCAGTTGGATTCCAAATTTCACAAAATATAGCTATCGATAATACAATTTTTTTTTTCATTTTCTACTTGGAGTCTATAACATTCACTACTCGTTCTGCAGTAACTTATCTCAAAACCCAATATTGGAAAAACTTGAGCAAAATTGGCAGAAAAATCTAGGCATATGCAATGACTTAAAGGTTTAAAAAGAAGCAGCACGTTCTGAAAAATGAAAGGAAACCTTTCTTGATGAAACAGTTAATACTGTAAATAGGGGAAAACTTCAGTACAATCATGAGATTCCAGAAAACATTGTATTTACTTAAAAAGTAATTTATACAACTGGAACATTTCTTAATGTTCTGCCTCCCTTTCCTCCCACCTAACAGGAACTGATATCACCAAGTTTATGGTCAAGGAAAAACCATTAATCCACAACTGTCAGCCACATTCATGAAGATGGGAAGAATGCATAGACAGGTATCAGAGCATATGAAAACAGAGGTGAATCTGCTGTTTTGAACAGACTGTAGCTCTGTATGTGTACATAAAAATTAACTCTATTCTTTCATTCCATTAAACTCACACTGTGACTTATGTTTTTCCACACCTGGGTAGGTTGGAGTCAGCGCCATTGCTTTTGTGGTTTCTTTCAGTAATAACAACAGTCTTGTTTCAGAAATTCTTACTTATATGTCCAGCATAATATCAAAACTCCAAGCTCTTGTATTCATACTGAAACTCCAATTTAAAACCTCTTCTTCTGCACTGTGTTGTACAGATGAAACTAATTCTAAAAAATGTGTATTTCATAATAAAAAATAATTTAATAAAAAAAACCAAAAAAAAAACCCTCTTCTTCTTTCTGGCCTATACAATTTTCAGCCTGGAAGCATTCAGAGGATGAGATGTTCTTTTTGCTGCCTCTTTTTTCCTTAGCTTCATCCAATCCTCTAATAGCTGCTGTTTCTGATCTCACATGGGGAGAGAAAGCTGGAGGAAGAAAAGATTTTGAAACCACTGAGTGGTTTCATGAGTTTCCCAGAAATCAACGTTTCTGACGCTACTCACTTCCTGTCAGAGAGACTTCTCTTGAGTTGGTTCCTCTTTAGCTTTCAGGATTCTATAGATACTCACTATTATGGCGTCATTGTCTAGGGTCCCCATGGATATGTTTTCTGTTTTTTTTAATTGTGGTGAAATATACATAACATAAAAATTTCCATCTTAATCCTTTGTAAGTGTACAGTTTAGTAGTGGTAAGTACTTTGACATTGTTGTGTACTCAACCTCCAGAACTCTTCATGTTATAAAGCTAAAACTCTATACCCATTAAATAACAACTTCACACTTTCCCCTCTCCCCCAACCCTGCCAACCACCATTCTACTTTCTGTTTCTATGTACTTAAATTGCTCTAGGTGCTTCATATAAGTGGAATCATACAGTGTTTGTTTTTTTGTGACTAGCTTATGTCATTTAGCATAATGCCCTCAAGGTTCACCCATGTTGTAGCATGTGTCAGAATGTTCTTCCTTTTTAAGTTTGAATAATATTCATATATATATATATATATATATATATATATATATATATATATATATATATATATATATATCTTCCACGTTTTGTTATCCATTTGTCAGTCAATGGATACTTGTGTTGCTTTCATCTCTTGGATATTGTGAATAGTGCTGTTATGAACATAGTTTACATATATTTAAACCCTGCTTTTAATTCTTTGAGCTATACCCTCAAAAGTAGATTTGCTGGATCATATAATAATTCAATGTTTAATTGTTTGAGGGTTTACCACACGTGTTTTCCATAGCAGCTGTCCTATTTTACATGTCCACCAACAGTGCAGAAGGTTTCTAATTTATCCACATTCTCATAACAGTTGTTATTTTCTATATGTTGAAAGTAGCCATCCTAATGTCTATCTTAATGATATCTTATCTCATTGTGATTTTGAGTTGCATTTCCCTAGTCATTACTGATGTTAAACACATTTTCATGTGTGTCTTGTATGTCTTCTCTAGAAAAACATCTGTTCCAGTCCTTTACCCACTTTTATTAAATCTTTTTTTTTTTTTGCTGTTGAGATGTAGGAGTTCTTGATATATTCTGAATTTCAATCCCTTATCTGATATATGATTTGAAAAATATTTTCTCCATTCTGTAGGTTGCCTTTTCACTCTGTTGATTTTGTTTTTTGATGCACAGAATTTTTTTTTTAATGTAGTCCAACTTAACTATTTTTACTTTTGTTGCCTGTGCTTTTGGTGTCATATCCAAAAGATAATTGCCAAGTCCAGTGTCCTGAAGCTTTCCAACCCTAAGTGTTTTATAGTTTTAGCTCTTACATTTAGGTCTTTGAACTATTTTAAATTAGTTTCTATATGCAATGTAAGGTAAGGGTTCAAGTTTGTTATCTGGCATGGTATTTGACAGTTTCCCCAACACCATTCATTGAAAAGACTGTCCTTTGGCTGATGAAGGGCCTTGGGCACCCTTGTTGAAAATCACTTGAGCACACAGGTGAGGACGGATTTCTTGACTTTATCTTATCCTGTTTTCCTGTATGTCTGTCTTGATGCCAGTACCACACTGTTTTGAATACTGTAGTTTTGTAATAAGTTTTGAAATCGAGACATGTGAAACTTACAACTTTGTTATTCTTTTAAAAAATTGTTTTGGCTATTTGGGATCTCTTAAGTGTCCACATGAATTTTAGCATGGAATTTTATATTTCCTCAAAAATTACTGTTGACATTTTGATAAAGACTGCATTAAATCTATATTGGGTACATTTTATAGTCACCCTAACCCAGATTCCCAAGGTGGGATACACACCTGGTCCACTCTGTGATTGGTGGAAGTAGATTAACTCCTTTGCAGTCCTTTTTCTGTAGTAACCTGCCAGCTTCAGGTTACTCTGTAAATGGCCTTCACACTTCCCTAGGTAGGGTCAAATAATGTTCACTACTCCATTCAAACCCCATGATACACAAATGGATGCACATTTTTATCCCTTGAGTGGTCACTTTGGAGCTATTCTCACTTGTTTGGAGATGAGTGAGAAACAGTTTCCTTTCCTCACCATGGATCCTTGAGGTAATGCACAGCATAATAATAACTACTTCCAAATACATTCCCCTCTTACACTTTTTCATTTAAATATCTTTCTACTCACAGAAGAATCATGGTTTCATGTAAGTCAGCTTGGATTTATAGTCTTTTAGTAACTCCTGCATAAGTGATAGAGCCCGTGGCTTTAGGATATAAAGGTATTTAGTACATCTGAATTGTTCTTGACCTTTGATACCTCTGCTAAAACTGAGCAGAATGGGTTTCTCTTTATAAGACTTTGTTATAGTGTGTGAGGAGTATTGGTACTACATCTTTCTTTGTGTCTTGCAATCCGTAAATAACCTCTCCTCCCACACACATCTTTTAAAGCTTTCGGCAATAACACTGTGTCAGACATTATTGGTTACATATCCCAATCTACTCTTCACTTCTACATTTTAAGTCGAGTCCTATTTTT